ACTGCGAAACGAGACATGGCCGTCCTTACTAAGGTGACACTTCATCCCGGCGGAGAAGAACCTCGAGCGGCTACAAGCTCCCACACTCGCAGCATGACCCCCGAGGGGGTTATGCAGGCCTCCCGAACAGTCTCGCGCTGAGTACGCGGAGCAGGCCAAGCAGGCGGGGCAGCGAGTCTGGGTCATCCTATCGGCCGACGCGTCCTCACCCATCCATCCCCGTAATGCCCCAAGGTGCGGGGCGGAGCGTGGCGCGGCGTGGCGCGGCTGGCTGGACGGTTAACTGCTGATGCCCATCAGTCCCCCCCTTCCCCTTCCCCCTCTCTGTCCCTCTGGGCTGCCTTTGTTGCTCGCTGCTTGCTCCACTACACGACGAGACGCTACGTCACAGGTGCTCTTTACCACCAACACACACACTCTCTCTCTCACACACACACACTCACCTCACATACACACATACACACACATACACACACATACACACACACATGCACTTACAAGCGTCACTCTACGGAGGCGCCGCGACGCTGCAGGACGCTCTTTCGGTGGGAGGGGGAGGAGCGATCTAGATAGCAGTGTGGTGCTATAAAACGTTACAGGGGGGGGGTCCGCGTAGCGATAGGTTCAGAGCGGGGTCATGATGGGGAGGGACAAGATGGAAAAGCGGCAAAAAGGGAAGAAGAAGGAGAAAGGACGGATGGGAAAAGGGAGAGAAAGAATCGGGAAGCTGGAGGTTTCGGTGCTGTATGCGCTTCGGCGGGGATCGATATAGTGGTGGCGGGGCTCGCCAGCTTGTGCGGTGGAGTAACAATGACGCTACCAGCAGCGGACTCGAAATGAAAATGCGTCCCCGAATTTGTGGGAGCGGTGAGAGTGCCGGGGACCTGCCTGGCTGGCTGGCTGGCTGGCTGGCTGCCTGCCTGCCCGCCCGCCTGCCTGCCTGGCCTCCCCGAGGCGCCGGCCGCCCTTACCACCAACCTGCTTTGTCCGCGACCGCCACGCCGCGCGCTCCACCTCGTGGCGCCTCAGTGCATCGTCGTCGACGGCTAAAATGGCGCAAAAAATCAACAACATCATCAACAACAACAACAACCACCACCACCAAAAAATGAAAACAAAGTACAAAAGCGTGACGACAACACCAACACGATGATGTTGGATGAGTTTGGGAAAGCTCGTTCTCGGGCCGGTGCTGTTGTGTACGCGGGGGGCGAAAACCAAACCTTTTAGGAAGTTTGACTTCCGCGTCGTCATAAATGAGGTGTGTGAGTGTGTGTGAGAGAGAGAGTTTTGTGTATGTGTGTGGGTACCCCTGTTCCGACCGCCGAAAGGCCCAGGCAGCAGGCGCCCCGCCGATGTTGAAGCTCGTCGGATTTTCCCGGCACGGCCCTCATTTTTGAATAATGAAAGGGGGAAGGTGCCGGAAAGGGGTGAGAGGCTCGCAGAGGCCCTTGCGGCCCTCGGAGCGTCCCCCGCCCTCCGTTTAGTGCGGTCCTTCGGCCCATGGGGGTCGCAGCGCCGCGCAGCGCGCAACGACCATCCCGATTCCCGGCATCTTAATTAAAAGCGACTTGCACACACAACGTGTGGCCGCCCCGGCCGCCCCGGCAGCGCCGCCGCAGACTGCCTGCAAGCCGAATCACGTCCCAGACAACGCCCTCGCAATAAACAAATGCGCAAATACAGCACCGCCCCGCGGCCCTGCGGCCCGGCGGGGCCCCGCGCTCTGTAGCCGCTGCACGCGCCGCTACACTGCAGCCCGCCTCGGCGCCTCGGCCCGCCGCGCCCCGCCGCGCCCCGGGTGGGGCGGCGGCGATGCAGACGTGAAGGGATTTTCAGCGGGAACGAGGAAGAGGGCGGGGCGCCCTTATGTCCTGCGAGGGAAGGGCCAGAGGACTTGGGGCTCAAGGCACCGCGAAACAGGAGAAGAGAGGTTAGGACTTACTCAGCGGACTCCCCCAGCCCCGCCCCGCCCCGCCCCGCCCCGCCCTTGCCCAGCTCGGCCTTGCCCGGCTCGCCCGTGTATCAGGTATCAAAAGCCATCGCGAGGCCCTTCGCCTGCCTCGCCCGCTTCGCCACAGCGCGGACAACCTCTCTCCAGTTTCCTCCAGAGGACGCACCACTGTAAGACGCGGGCGGGTGTAGCTTCGCCGCTTCGCCGCTTCGGGTGGAGTGACGCGGTGAGGCGGTGTAGTGGCGCGGGCGGTGTTTCGGCACGGGGGAAGGTGTTCCCTGTTTGCGGTGGCACGCAAGTGGCACGCCAGTGGCACGCCGTATGCGTAGTTATCTCGTACATCACCACCACTGAGGCATCTTGAGAGTAAAAATACCAGGGACAGCCTAAAAAAAAATCCTTAGATATTGAATATTTGGAAAATTATACATCATATCTTTCCAATTTTCTTTTACTTTTATTTTGCACTTTTTCTTTCAATGGCAGACAGATTGAGACCTCTGTAGCATTCTCTTCATTTCATCTCCGTTTTTGAGCATCGCCCTCCTCGCTGGAAATGCGAAATGGCCATCCCTCACGTGCGCCACACGGCGCGCCGCGGTATGTCGGTTCACCGCGGCAGACTCGTCCCATCGAAATTCGATACTCTTATTCTTTCAGCGATGCATGGCGCGCGGCGTGCTGCGGTCCTGCGGGGCGCCTTCCTAGCGCACTCGGCCCGCCCCGCCCCGCCCCGCCAGCCCGTGAAACGCTAGACGCAAATTCGGTCCCACACGGAAGCGATACCCTCCGCCCCGACGAGGCGAGGACGTCTAGTAGTGCACGACGGCGGAGGCACTCCGCACCTCACGGGCCTTCCGGGCGGCCGGGGCGGGGGAGGGGCGGGAACAATGGAGGCGGAAAGGGACGAGGGAGGGGAGGGGGCCGCGGGCCGATAGCAAATATTGAACTCAAATACCAAATTCTTCCCATCCGGACGGGCGGCCGGGCCGGCCGGGCCGGCCGGGCCGGCCGGGCCTCCCCGAACAGGAGGGCGTCTCACTGCGGGCGTCGTACTCCCTCTTCATTCTTAGGTTCCCCGGGGGGTTGGAGCGGGGCGTGGCGGGGCGTGGCGGGGCGTGGCGGGGCGTGGCGGGGCGTGGCGGGGCGTGGCGGGGTGGGGCGCGGCTGGTGGTTTGCGGTCGGTGAGGTGCCCGTGCTGCCTCGCCTCGGCTCTGCCCGGCTGTGCCGCGCCGCCGCCCTCAGTGCACCGTTACCCCCTTTGCGTCCGCGTCCGTCACGGCACACGACGTGCGGCGGTGACAGTTATGCCTCGACGCACTCTCCGTAACGAAAAAATTGGGGCTTCCGCTCGACTCGGCAACGAAACGTGCAGGACACCTGGGCGCGCTAAGAGAAGGCGAACATTCCCGCGCGAATTGTTTCACGACCTGATCCGCTCCGCGGGCAGCAGCGCCTCCGATGATGCAAAGCAGGAAGGAAAAATGAGGGATGAAATAAATAAAAAAGTCTCTGAACTTTTGAGGTAATTGGTGTAGCTCCGCCCCCTGGGGACGTGCGCCCGGAGTTCTCGGTATCGGTCGCGCTCTCTGCCTCACTGTAATTGGACGAGTGTACCTGGAGTGGCAGCGGATGGGGGAGAAACTTTGCGCGAGGACGTGTGTGTCTGATGAGAAATGCCAGGGTGTGTAAGGCACACGCTTTCTGATCCACCCTCCCCGCCCCTCCCCACCTCGCCACGCCACGCCCCCCCGCTGCGGTCCCGCCGAGTGCATAATGTAGTCTTGCTCTTAAGAGGGGAAAAGGAATTTCAACCGCCACCCGCATGTACCCCCTGCGGCGGGCGGCCTGGGGGTGACGGCGGGGGCGGCGCGGTCGGGGGGAACCTGAGAAATGTGATCGGGCAGCCCTTATTGGACCTTCGAAGGGCGCAGCCTTGGCGCAGCCAGCACGGCGTCAGTCTAATGGCGAGGACCCGGTGCGAGCGACGTGACGAGAGGCTCGTCGTCCGCTTGGGCGAGACGGGGCTGGCCCAGTAATGCAACCGTGAGACCCCAGCGACGCCCTGCCACATGCCCTGGCCTAGAGACCAAGATTAGTCTCGTTGCATTTGTTGAAGGCCCACTCGAGAAATCCTGTGTCCCTGGAGCCCTAGAAATCTCTGGAAAATTCAAAATTTTTCCCCAAAAGGCCATAAACAGGCAGATTTTAGCCTTAAAAATGGGCGAAATCCGACGAAATCTCTTGTCCTCAGAAATCTTGTGTCCCGTAACATCGTACGTGGTTGCCCCCCTCGGTTGCAAGTAATTTTTGTTTGCGACGAGCGTTTTTTAAAAACGTACGTTTCGTTATGTCTGAAAGTAAGTAAAACGCTCAAGGAGACCCACACCACTACTTAATGTCATTGGTGCTTGGTGAAAACTACAGAAAATAAACACCTCGTCGCGTTTTTAATTAATTTCGTAAACAGGCAAAAAAAGTGTCACTTGTCCCTCGATCAAAGTCGGAGTTTGTTCGACAAGGCAAAAGGACGACGACGTCGCGACACCCGAGAAAACGGTCCTTCGGCGAAGAACAATGCCGTTGGCAGCCGTGCTCGGGACAGGGAAACAAAAATAAAACCCCGACTGTTGGAGAGGGAGCGACGCAGACAGCGTCGAAGCGATCGGTGTCGTTGCCGCCGCGCGAGGGCGAAGGCCGGCGGAGGCCGGCGAAGGCCGAGGCTCGCGTCAGACTGGTGCAGCGAGGAGCGCGGTGCTCGACGCGATAAAGACGTAGATGTCGCCGAAGAAGACGCGCCCTAATCGCTGGGAGGCCCACACACCACCTGTTGTATTGGGAAGCACACTGAGCCCCCTGCTGCGCGGCGCCCACCCTTCTCCTCCCCCTCCCCCGCCGCCGCGCCTCGCTGCCTGCGGCCGCCGCGACGCTTCGCGCTCCGCCGGGCCGCCGCCGCCAGCGCGCCAGTTCGGTTCAGTTCTCGCCGGGACCCGACGTCGTCCGGACGTGCCCGCGCTGCGCCGCCGCGCCGCGTTGCTCGTCTCGTTCGTGCCGCGCGCAGTGCTGTCCTGGTGCCCCGCGGCCGCGTCCAGGATCTCGCCGTGCACGAGCAGCACGAGCCGGGGGAGCTGGGGGAGGAGCAGGACCGAGTGCGGGGAGTGAGTGAGGGCGCCGACAACATGTGGCGGCAGTGACAAAGAGACACGGCTGGATTTTTTTCGCGCCATGAAGATGGAGATGGCGACGCGGCCGCCCCGGCCCGAGGGCATCATGACCCACATGATGCTGAGCGGCATGCTGCTCATGGCCACCATCTACGGTGAGTGCCACGGCCGCCATGGAGCGGCGCCCGCGGCGCGGTGACAGCAGCCAGCCGCCAGTCACGTGATACGCGGATGATTACGCCGAGAGGCGACAGTGTCGCGACCTCTCGAACCGCGTCGCGCGTCACATCACGGCCTCTATGGCCTCTCCAGGGCCTCTCCAGGGCCTCTCCAGCCAATCAGCGACGCGCATTCGCAGCCGCCTCGCGCTGCTGGACTGGCCACGCGGTTCACCAGTCAATGACCTTTCAATTTGCTTCCGGGGAATTAATTTCTCGCGCGGCTGCGGGCCAGTGGTGTGGTTCGACGCCCCGTCTCTCTCTCTCTCTCTCTCTCTCTCTCTCTCTCTCTCTCTCTCTCTCTCTCTCTCTCTCTCTCTCTCTCTCTCTCTCTCTCTCTCGGTAATGGTCCAGCGGATATGCATTTGGCAAAGTGAGGACGGCTAATGGTGCTGCCGCGTCTCATTAACTGGCCCAGGAGGCCCACTGCCGGAGTCGCCCGGAGTGCTGACCGACTAGACTCTCGGATTCGGGGACTATCTGCAGGGCCTCTGCCACACTGTGTCAAGCCGAGGGACTGTGCCGCCCACCGCACGGCCCAGGCACGGCCCAGGCACGGCCGAGCCCCGAGCTCCTCGATGGCAATCGCTTTCTAATTAAGTCGAGTGGCACATTACGCCGCATAAGTACCGGGTGTCCAGGGCAAGTGCCTGTCGCCGCGTCGCCGCGTTCGTGACAAACGAGTCCAGTGTCGCGAGCGTCGGCGTGATTAATTTATCTCGACACAGTTCGGCTGCTATTGTTTTTCGAAGGTGGGTTCCACGTATGCCACAATACGTCCGTTCTTTTTGAAACAAAAGTGCGCGGTCCGCTGGACCATGCGCTGGCAAAACTTGGCCCCTAATTTCCGACCCCCCCCCCCCGAATCCGTCCACGCGGACGTCCCGAAATACTGAAATAAAAGCGTGCGGGGCTCGGGGCGGCTCGGTCGGCTCGTCGCTCCGCCGGGAAACAGTGGAGGGCACACGCTCCGATTGATCCTCGTGAATTTCGCAGCCTCGATTCCCGGAGAGAGGAGAGCCTCGCGGAATAAATAAGAGATGGGTCGTGGCAGCCCGCGTAGCCCGCGTAGCCCGCGTAGCCCGCGTGGTAAGGCAGTGCCGCACGTGTGCTTACGTGCCCCGCCCCGCCCCGCCCCGCCCCGCCCCGCCCCGCCCCGCCCGGCTGTGCCTCGAAATCGCCTCTGATCCAGGAGCACTGCTATTGTGCCGCTTACTGGTGTGCGTGGCGCTGTATGCGTATGGCACTGCATGTGTTTGTGTGTGCGTGTTTGTGTAGGTGTGTGTGTGTGAGTGAGAGCGCCATCCATGCCATAGATCCCATGTGTCGGCGCTTTCGGATAAGGCCGTACGCCTGGCATGGGCCATGCCGGGCCATGCCGGGCCATGCCGGGCCACGCCAAAGCTAGCAAGCCTGTTGTGTGTGGATCCCGCCGGACATGTGTGGTGGCGGGGTGAGGCGGGGTGGGGTGGGGTGGGGCGGGGTGAGGCGGGGTGAGGCGCCCCCGGCCCCTAGAGGGCCCTACCTACAACCCTAACAGGGACCCTCCAGAAATCCTCCCCGACCTCAGAGGACACCCTGTGGACTGAACCGCGGAGGGGAGGGGCGACTTTCGGCGCGTGTGTGCTGTATTTTTCGGAGCCGCCTTTGTGTGTGTGTGTGTGTACGTGTGTGTCTTGGCTTGGGGGAAGCCTGGCTGGCTGAGCGTTAGTTTGTGTGTCGCAACGTCCAAATCCCCAGCCACACAACGGCGCCCTGCTCTTTTGCTTCTACCGGTGGAGAGACTGCGCACGAGCGTCGTTTGCGAAACTCAGACCGCGTGGATGAATCAAGTTGTAGCGGTTCTTTGCCATAACATCGACAAGCCGGCGTTTGTCCGGTGGGGATCGGCCCAGCGCAACGGCACACAGTGGCAATGCCTCATGCACTGCTCGGCCATGTTCTAGCTGAGGCCGTCACCGAGGGCTGCAGACCCCTCTTCCTCGTTCGCGGTCTCCGCCCCTTTTCCCACTGCAGGCGCGCAGCCAAGGTCTCTCCCCTGCAAATGGCAAGGTGGCTATCAGATTTCAATGGCTGCAAGGTGTTCCAGCCAGCCCCCTGCTCCAGGCCCTGCTCCAGGCCCTGCTCCCCGGAGGGCCGTAGTGCCGCAGTCGCGGTGTGCCTCCTTTGCCTGCAGATAGCGTTGAGCCAGATGCACCCCTGTGGGTCCCTCGGCCCGCGGCGCAACTAACTGGGACACGGGTTCAAACACCCCACGCATCTGCGTTTTTCATAGGTCCGGCAGGCGTTGTGGACCGTCCCGTCCGTGCCGAGGCCCGATAGGCGCTGAATAAATGGGAATCCAGGTGGCGGCGGAGGCGGCCGAGCCAGTCTTGGCAAAACACGGTGCATAATGCACGCTGCTTAGACACGGCAGGCGGACTACACAAGCCGGTCACATTTTCATGAGTTGGCACGACTGCACTGCGAGTGACACGACGGCCAAAGCATCGGACGCATACTTGAGTGTGTTTGCGTGTTTGCCCCAGAAAAGTTGATGTAGAAAGGCGGCATAGTGTGCGAGTGTAGGTGTGTCACGTTATTTTTGTCTCCCGGACTCCGTGGCAACACTGCACTCCTGTAAATGTTACTACAGTGAAGTTTAATCTCAACCACTGATTCATCGATTTCGGCAGCAGTACAGCACAAAGCAAATATTTTTCGAAAAAATCAATTTAGCATTTTTTTTCTCTTTTGTGAGACGTATTGTTTGCTGAGCAATATGGATCTGCCCTTCATCCTTCATTCCCCGGCCAGGATGTCCCGCCGCCGTGTCTCTTGACGCTTCAGCGACGCTTCGGCGACGCTTCGGCGGGTCAAGGCAGTCGTTGTCCTCGATTCCGCGGCGCTTTGAATGATGGCTCGGACCCCCTCCCCGCTCCGCCAGCACGCCGCGTAGGCCGCGCTGCCCGCAGTATGCACAGTTATCGAGGATGGCCCAATGCCCCGGTTCCATGCCGGCGTGGCCACGACGCGGAACGCGGAACCGCCGGCCTTTTTGTCGTTTTGGGAAGCACGCCGTCGGTCATCGGCGGCTTGGTACCGCGCCGTGCGGCTGGGCTGCGCGGCCTCGAAAAAACCAAACAACGACAAAAAAGCACCACAACAATAAAAAGAATATGGGACAATGCGCACACGGGGGACTTGGGCATGGCGGTGTCCGTCCGTTCGGCCCCGGATTTTGGTTTTGTTGGCGGCGTGCGGTTGCCGTTCATGTCGGCGACATTTTATCTGCCTTGTTGCACTCCTACATGGCCATGACGCCATTGATACGTGGCGTTGTTTGCCTCCGTCCCTATCGGCCCTGCGTCCCGACAATGCCCCCCGGCCGGCCACCACCGCCCACGCCGGGCTACCCCCGCCCACCGCACCCTTGCGTGCATAATGCCGGCGTCATCCCTCGGCCGGCCGGTCGGCTTGCCTTCAAATTCAGGCCGAGTTTGCTTTTGACCGGCCTGACCGGCCTGGCGGCCTGGCGAGCTGGGCTGGCGGCCTGGCCGGGCCGCCATCACCCCCGCACTATTCAGGGACTCCCCTCGGCGACCACCTCGTGCCGCCAGCGGAGCGCCGCGGCCCCGGAATTGATCCCTGTTCATTACACGAAAAGGGAGAGGATGGAATGCAGATTGTGGACTGGAAAAGGAGCGGGGGTGGGGGGAGAGGGGGGGCACTTTCATTAGAAGGGGTATAAACAGGGTGAAATTAGAGGGCCAATCTGGCGCAGTGTGGCGTCGTCGTCGCGTTGCGGCCGGGCCTCGGCCAGGCCTGCCAGGCCGCGCGTCTCGTGGTACCAAAAGTAGTCTCTGTCCCCTGCTGCGCGCTGCGTCGGATGCTCTGCTCCGCTCTGCTCTGCTCCCCCGGGCCGATTTCTCGGCACACTCGCAGCGCTAGCAGCGCTAGCAGCCCTGGCCGATCCGGATGAACACAACGCCCAGCAGAAAGCCAGCTGTCGCCCCCCCCCCTCTCCTCCCCGGCGTTCGTGTTGGTCTTGAAAGGCACTGCGGCAGGCCAACGGCAGGGCTCCCTGTCCGAAATACCGCATCGCGCACACTGAAGCGGCGCGGCGGCGCGGCGCACACAGGCATAATTCCCTTTGTCCTCTTTTGGCGCAGGCTTGCTTTTCCCCCCGTTGTTTTTATTCTTATCCTTTGGCGTGCCGGGGAAAGGAGTGGAGCGAGGATGCGCCATAATCTAGCGGGCGGTGAGCTTGCTTGACACGGCGGGGGATCAGGCCCAAGTTACTGTGACATCCTCCGCCGCCGTGCCCGCCTGGCTCGCTGGTGTGGGAAGCGGGGCGCACTGGGGGGCCCGGCGGGGCGTGGCGGGGGCATGCCGTGCCCGTAATGCTACTCGGTTTATCCACAATCATCATGATTGGTTCCAACTGCCACACTGTCTTATTACGGCGTCCGCTGTCGCGAGCCACGCTGCCCGGCACGCCACCCACTCTCTCCGGCAAGACGAGACCCGCTGCACTCCTGCACCTGTCATACTTCCAGACTGTTTCTGGGAGTCCTCTTCGTCGCTCTGTCTCTCTCGCGCCTATACGTGAAGCCCAATGAGTGCGAGAGAGACAGAGCGACGAAAACGACTCTCAGTGTGCTGGGCGTTTCCGCCGAGGCGGACTGCCACACTGCCACACGCGCGCCGCACTTCGCCATTCCTATATTGGTCCTTGAAACGACGGCCCGTCTTCGCCGATGGTAAATTTAGCAGGCGGCGGTCGCGAGAATGGGAGAACGGGCGGGTCGGCCGCTACTTTGACTGCCAGTGGAGTGGCACGGCCAGGCACGGCGAGGCATGGCGGCGTCCAGGCCAGCGCGGCCCAGCGACCCGTTCGAATCGACGACATGGGATTTCCGTTAGCGCTGGAAGGGCACGTCGGACGCTGGCTGCGG